TTTGATCCACCCCCCCCCAAAACTATCTGGGTATGGTCTATCGAATAGTTTATGTAGAAGCATTGCCTGAACAGAAGGTATTTACACCCCCCCCCCCTTCCTCAGTCCAGAGGGTGTAGTCCCCATGATAGTAGGCAAAGACATAAGATCATTCCATTATGCCTCTCTGGCCAACTATGCATCTAGAACGTCTGCTTTATAGCACAGACATATTAATATTATAGTTCATACAGATGATATACAATTGTTTACAGTTTTTTGGGTTTCATTAGTGTAAGCTAAGCTATGAATAAAAGCCAATGTGGATAGCTCTCCAGTCACAGGAGTACACAGAGGGCCTCTGGGCATTGGAGAGCATAGTCTGCACCTCCCAACACAAACACAATGTAGACAGTGTCAAGCAGCAAGTCATATAATCTCCCCAGTTTTATTAAAGCAGAGCGTGAAAGATCGTGACATGTTTCAGGCTAAGTGAACCAATGCTAGCCGTATCAACTAAGGCTAAGATGGGGTCACCATTGCTTTGATGGAATAGGGCTTAGGAAAACAGTAAACAAACACAAATAAAGGGAATATCTTTTATTTTGTATATATTTTATATTTTATTTGATGATGATACATTTTAAATATTAAACATTTCATGTGTACAATTTTTCAGCAGTTCAGCAATTTTCAGTCACCGAGTGGAGCTCTTAGCTTCTTCTCAGGTGTCTACCAGGCTTATTGTAACTAAAAAAATCTTTACAGAACTCAATAGTTACAAACCCCCCCCCCCCCCTTCCCTTCTCCCTGCTCTGTACAACCCTGTGCAGATTTTATTATTCGAGAGAGATAGTCAGAAAGCAAACAGCTTTAGTAAACCTATAAAGCTCTGTTGCACCAGGATCATGATTGAACCCTGTATTAAACATTTGCTTGCAAAATTAAGATTTTAGGTACATAATAAAAAATGAGATAAAACATACATTTAAAACTTATGAACTTAAAACAAACATTTAACCCCTTCGCGTTTGCTGACGTACATAGTGCGTCTTAGGCAGTGTGCCCGTTTAAACAGCCTCCCGGTGGCTAAACTCTGTTTAGATTTGTAAAGCCGGCTGTCAGCTTTACAATAGAAGTGATTCTGGCGGCTCAGCTGCCAAAAGATCGCTTCTATGGGCCCGGCCCCACCCCGCCACCTGACACCCCCGCCGGGTTTCTCAGGCTCTGCTGCCCCTTTTGTCATGTGTCGATGGGAAGCTGTGGAGGAGAGTGGCGAACTTCCGTTCACTGATCTCCTCCCCGCTCTATTGGACCGGGACCGGCGAGTATTACATCACTTCCAGTCCCTGAGCTGTCATTGCTCGGCAACTGAAGCCCAGCTATAAGCTATTGAAGTGTGATCTGCACTTCAATACCTTATTTAAAGTGGAAAGGTGATATTAGGGGTCTTTTGGACCCCCAGTGTCACCTTAAAGAGCACCTGTCACTACCAATACACTATCAGATGGGATGCGATAATATAGAATAAAATAAATGTAAACATTTTTTTTTTTTTACAAAACAATTGATATTTTATTGTGCTTTGGGGCACTACATTTAACTTAAGTTAATTTTTCACTACATTTTGGGGGTTTAATAAACAGTTGCGCTAAAATCGTGCAACATAAAAATTGGCAACTGCCACAATTTTATTCTACAGGTTCTTATATAATATCTAGTTTATGGGGATTTTAAGTAATTTTCCGGCCTAAAATGTGGATTATAACATGTGTGCAAAAAAAAAGGCCTTGGCAGCCAAAGGGTTAAATAGAAGTGAACCAAAATCTTTACATATCAATTAGGGTAATTAAAAGTGCTTTTCGCTGGTTCCGTAGACAAAAATGAGCTCCCCTACATTGTAAGGGAAGTTTCTTCACTTCCCCAGAGTTCAGCTTTAGGCAGCGATATAGCCATACTGCCGGACCCTAGAGGAGCCCATTCTGCAAAATGTGTTTGTCTTGTACGTCTGCTCCGAGAGCAGTGGCGCCAAATCTTAGCCGCGTCCGCACGCCCATGCTCAAAGCCCAATTCAAAGCTATTGATCCAGGCAGTGTTAGTATAATTTTATTTCCCATCAACAGTCCCTGCAAAAACAAAAAAGCAGATCCGGGTAAATAGCTATATATTACTGCGCACTGTTTCTTTCCGACCGTGCCTTTGAAGAAATGAACTCGCCAGCCAGAGACTTAATTGAAATCTCTGTTTACCTAGCTTTTACCTTGGGCTGTGGAACCCAAACACCGAGGCCCTTTTATACAAGAACAGAAGTGCATTCTTCATCCCCCTTGATGTCTTATAACATTTAATTGGGTAGCCACCTAGTATTCAGGCCGTGCCAGAGATCTTATCATTTAGAGTTAGGTAACATCTAAATTAGGATGACGCCAAGGGCCAGCAGAACCAGGTGCTTTTGTCTTCAAAATATTTCCCCTTTGGACGCATTGATGATGAGACGCCGATAGTTCGTTTTCGGGCTGGAAAGCGGGGCTTTAGACCATTTTTGGCAAAGGCAACTTACAATCTCTGTGTTCCCTCTAGACCCATAAAATTGCTGTTTATCCAGATCCACTGACTGCAGAAATACTCTGTGTAACTGGACCACTGTCAGAGCTTTCTCTGTGGGAGTAGAAGATAAAAACATGTTTAAAAAGCTGTGCCAGAGTTAAATAGTTTTAAGCAGTTTGGGGATTTATTTAAGGACGTTTATACAGTTGGACTTCGGTCGTACGTTAATGCGTTTAGTCCAGCAGATTTAAAGGTCTTAAAGGGCAACTCCAGGCAACAAGTTAAAGTGATATTATAGCCCAACTCCGGGCACGAGACAAAAGAGTTAATAGCCCTTGCAGTGGAGCCCCCTCCCAGCAAGTGTTAAATGCCTGTTAGGTACAGGAAGGGGAGACAGCACTTACCTTACCCCCTCTGGTGCTCTTCCCTTCTCCTTGATGCTGCGGGCCAAAAAATAAAAAGGGTTGAAGAGTAAAGTAGAGGGAGAACTAGAGCAGGTAGAGGGCAAGAGTGCGGTAGCGGTAGCACCCCCCGGGCAAGGCAGGGCAATTAAATGGCTGTTATGCTATCAGAATGAATATCTGGGTGAGCATATGTTATCCAATGGCCCCAAACCTTTGTACATTTCTTCTGGGTGTCCAAAAGAACACTGGACAGTTTTTCATTGATGAAAAATGAGTCAATTCTGAGTCTAACCCCCGCAAAGGGGGCCGATTGCTTCTTCCATGCTTGTGCTATGGTTTGTTTCGCGGCCAGAAGAACATAAACTGCCAGTTTGTGTTGAGTCTTCGTAAGATTCGGGTGTTTAAGGTGTAAAAGCGCAAACCAGGGGTCCCTGACTACATTGGTTTGGAAAAGGGATCGCAACAAAGCAAAATGTTTGAGCCCATAGTCTGTTCACCATTGGGCATGTCCACCAAATATGTAGCACATCACCTTTCACAGCACGACCTCTAAAGCAGAAAGCCGACTGTTGAGGATGAGAATGTGCCAGTCTGACAGTGACCATGTACCACCGCATCATTGATTTGTAGGCTGTTTCCAGGGAAGTATTGTTGATGGTACATGATGCAGCCGTGGTCCAAATCTGCTGCCACTCCTCGTCAGGCATAGACTTTTGCAGGCCTCTTTCCCAGGCCAGCACGTAACTATGATTTAGTTTGTTGGTGACAGCATTGAGCTGAGAGTACAGTACAGATACCTGAAAACAAGTAACCCTTTTTAATGTTGTTACCACCTTTTCTTTGCATCAATGCGTTGGCACCAGCCCAATACCTGTCTCTAAAAAGTAGAAGCAATGGCTTAGAAACAACTGAACTCAGCTCTTTGAAGACACATAGGTGTGAACCATCTTAGACAGGAGCTTTATTCACTTTTATTTGGTCTAATTGTTTCTAGATCATATGGGTGTTAAGCCACTGTGCTGGATTTGGAATCATAATACGAATGAAGTTACATACAGTAATAAGAGAGCTAAAATGACAGTGAAATGTAATATTTATTCAGCCTAGGCTCCAAGTGTTCAATATAAAAGGAAGACCCCTGTGATTATATAGAAATGGAATAATAACATTTTCTGTTGCTGAACCCATGTTTCTAACATGGGAATAGTTAAAGTGATCCAAAGTTTAGCAAGCTCTTTTCTTGGCTGGCAGTTATTAGTTTTGGATCGCAATATTAGTTTTCTGTAAATTGAAGTCAAGTCATACATAATAAATTAGAGTCTTTATTTCTTTCTTTGCATTTCATAAAACATCCCTAAATGTGTTCTTTAAATGCAAGTGCCTGTATTTGATTTGGTAGCAGCCTCTTGCATTGCTATGTACAGCAGAGTTCCTCTTGCAATTCTATGTACAGCAGAGTTCCTCTTGCAATGCTATGTACAGCAGAGTTTAGACTGGGAGGGGGAGAAGCAGCTCAAGGAGCCAGTCAGCCGTGCTGCAGTGCTTGTGTGTAAAAAGAAACACGCTAATAGGAGTAGAGAGCAGAGTGGCAGAGAGATGAGCTCACCAGTCTGCTGCTTCTCATTTCACTGTCCAGTCACAAGCTGGGGGAGGGACAAGACCTGCAAGTTTTACTTAACTGCAGCAGATAAAAATATGTTCCTCTGCCCTGACAGACAGGCTGTACTATGTGGCAGAGCTGTGTAACTCAAAAATGGATGGACATAAATACAAATCATTTGGCAGCTCCCACATGTTATATGTATTTGGTCTGCTTATGTAGCCCTCTTCCTGTAGTTCAGCTTTAAAACCCAATTACATCTAATTATTTTTTTGTCTTGGCTAGAGTGGAGAAAGTTTAGAACACTTGACAGATTTATATTGCTGTCTCTGTTCCTGTTAGGATCTTAACCCAATGCATCCTTTACTGATAACACTTTGTGAACCAGGGTGTGGCTGGTGGTCACCAAGACAGGAAGTAAGAGAAAATCTCTCCAATGAGGACACTGACGTAATGAAAAACCCAAGGGGGGTTCTACCACTTCCCTGCTCTAGTCTAAGCAAAGAAAAGCTTTTGACTTATCTTTCCATCCACTTTTGGGCCTGATCTTTCCATAGTGTGTAACACAGTTCTCTATATGTGAGTTTCATACTACTGTATATACATTGGCTGAGTTCTCTTTGTTCTCCTTTTCAGATGACCCTTCCAGTCTCAAGCCCCCTGACTGCCCCCAGAATGTTGATGACTGCCCAGGGGGCTGTGGAGGTGATGCAAGGGGTACTTGTGTTGATGGGCAGTGCCAGTGCAAAGAAGGCTTCATGGGTGACAAATGCCTCCTGAAGACCTGCCCAGAGGACTGTAATGACCAAGGCAAATGCACAAATGGACGTTGCATCTGCTTTGAAGGATACTCAGGAGTGACGTGTAGCATCAAAGCTTGTCTAAACAACTGTCACAATCATGGGAAGTGTGAGGATGGAGTGTGCAACTGCGACAGCGGATATTCAGGAGAAGACTGCAGCTCCCGAGTCTGCCCCAGGAACTGTCTCAACCGTGGAAGATGCGAAAATGGACTTTGTGTCTGCTACCCCGGATACGCAGGGGTGGACTGCGGCTTTACAAGCTGCCCCAATAATTGCAACAACCGAGGCGTCTGCAAAGACGGCGCCTGCGTGTGCAACACTGGTTTCACTGGATCGGAATGCGACATCAGAAGCTGCCTCCATGACTGTAACAACAATGGCAGATGCAGTGATGGGGTCTGCGCTTGTAACCCAGGGTATTTTGGGGAGGATTGTGGCTATAGGGGTTGTCCTGAAGATTGCAACGAGCAGGGCCAATGCATTTCTGGCAAGTGCGTGTGTGATGCTGGGTTTGTTGGGGCGGACTGTGGCACCAGAATCTGTTCGCCGGAATGCGAGAGACGGGGCCGATGTGAAGATGGTGAGTGCATTTGTAACCCGGGCTTCACTGGGCAAGATTGTGAGATCAGAACTTGCCCCAACGATTGCCACAAACAGGGCCGATGCGACGATGGGAAGTGTATATGCGATCCTGGCTACACAGGACCAGACTGTAAGATAAAGGCCTGCCCCAACAAATGCAACAACCGGGGACGATGTGAAAACGGCATTTGCATCTGCAACCCTGGATTTTCAGGCCCGGATTGTGGGTCCAAAGCCTGCCCCAAAGGTTGTAGTGGAAACGGGCAATGTGTCAATGGCAAATGTATTTGTAACGCAGGATTCGTCGGCCCAGTGTGTGGGACCCGATCTTGCCCCGCTGAGTGTTCCAACCATGGCCGCTGCATTAGGGGGACTTGCGTCTGCTCCCCTGGTTACACAGGAGTGGATTGTAGTGTCAGGACTTGCCCCAAAAATTGCCACGACCGAGGTCGGTGTGAAGGAGGCGTGTGCTTTTGTGACGCCGGATATAATGGTCTGGATTGCGGAACCAAGAGATGCCCCAATGACTGCTACGACCGGGGGCATTGTGAAGATGGGGTATGCGTTTGTGATTATGGGTTTACTGGGCAGGACTGCGGGTCTAGAACATGCCCCAACGACTGCTATAACCGGGGCCGGTGTGAAAATGGGATGTGCGTTTGCGACGCCGGATATAAGGGAGAGGACTGCGGCATCAGAACTTGCCCTAACGACTGCCACGGTCAGGGGCGATGTGAGGATGGGGTGTGCGTCTGTGATTTTGGATACACGGGTATAGATTGTGGTTCTAGAACCTGCCCCAGTGATTGTTACAACCATGGAAGGTGTGAAGACGGCCAATGTATTTGTGAAGCTGGATATACCGGTCAGGACTGTGCATCCAGAACATGTCCGGAAAATTGCAACAACCGCGGCACATGTGATGACGGGAAGTGTAGTTGTCATTCTGGATACACAGGTCCCGACTGTGGATCCAGAACTTGCCGCAATGACTGTAACGGCAGGGGCCGGTGTGAGGATGGCATCTGCATATGTGATCCTGGATATACGGACATAGACTGTGGACTAAAGAATTGTCTAAATGACTGTCATAACCGAGGACAATGTGATGACAGTGTATGTATCTGTAACTCTGGATACACAGGCCCAGACTGTAGCGAGAGAACTTGTCCAGAGGACTGCCATAGCCATGGAAGGTGTGACAATGGAAAGTGTGTCTGTGATCCTGGATATGTCGGTTTGGACTGCGGATCTCAAGCTTGTCCAGAAAATTGCCATGTCCACGGACAGTGCCAAGATGGAGTCTGTATCTGTAACTCTGGTTTTACAGGGCTGGATTGTTCATCCAAAGCCTGCCCTAAAAACTGTAACAACAAAGGGCAATGTGTAAACGGAAAGTGTATCTGTGAGGTGGGTTATATAGGGCCGGTCTGCGGAACAAAGGCCTGTCCAGGGAACTGCAACGGACACGGCAAATGTGTGAACGGGGTCTGCACCTGTAAGAAGGGGTACAGCGGCCCGGATTGTACAATAGGTGAGTGTTGGAACCATCACTGGGTAGGTGTACAGAAGAATCCAGCAGTGTCACCCCTTGCAACCAGTTAGATCCTTCCTGATTCTAGAAACATGAAAGGGATAATCCAATTGGTTGCTTTGGGTCATGAGTCCCTTTCTAAAAAATTGCTGCATTGAGGGGAATAAACTTAAACTGGAGCAAACATTGTCTGGAGCAACTGTGCACAGTAACCAATCAGCTTCTATCTTTAGCTGGTTGAGTTAGGCTTTAAAAATAGCATACGCTATACGCATAATGCTAGAAACTTATTGGTTGCCATGCACAGCTGCTCCAGAGTCTGTCTTTTCCAGTCTTAGTAAATTCCCATAATTGAATTTAATTTTAAACTATAGTTATCTATGTTTCGTAGATTCTTTTTAATTGAATGACGTTTAGGCTTATTGAAAATAAAGTAAGAAGAAAGTCTAAATGTCTATCCTGTTTCCATAGAAACAGTGTAAAATAATAAAATCAGGCCGAGGCAGATCAGGACTGCAGCTTGTCACAGTTTTAGGCCTCATTTACACGACTAACAGCCGACCCGTACAGATCAGTGCTGCGTGCACGGCCGTATCGGGCCGCTCCCGGGAAGGACAGGTGCTGCGTGTGATCTGTACGCAGCAGCCTGTTCTTCTCTATGGGAGCACGCAGCTGTACACTCACCCGAACTGCACATCCATGCAAGTGTCCGTACTCAGACACAGACAGGATGTGTCTGCGTCTGAGCAGGGACACCCGCACGGATGTGCAGTATGGGTGAGCATTGGCCGCATATTCCCATAGAGAAGAACAGGCTGCTGCGTACAGATCACACGCAGCAACTGTCCTTCTTGCAATTGGCCCAATACGGCGCACGCCACGTGGATCTGTACTGTTAGTCATGTGAATGAGGCCTTAAAGTAAAAAAAAAAAAATGCATATACAATGGGACATTCACTTGAGTGAAAATGGTGACCAGCATACTTCTTTTGTCTTTTCAAATCTATATACTACTTTAAAGCACCTGACAACTGGGCCATTTAATGAGACCCTGTCACGCCAACAAATCAAGTATTTAAATTCTTACTTGCAAAGTTTTACCTTTTCGTAAATGGTTCTTAGTAACTTGCCGTGTACCTTTCAGCAAATTTTACTAGTCGATTCCCTTGCACAGCCCTCTCCCTTCGTGCATGTCATAGCTCTCTCCTGTACTGGGAGTGTTTAATCACTGTCTGTGCTGGTCCAGCATCTCTGCTCCTCCTTTGAAGTAGATGCTAGGGGGAGGAGTGAAGGTAAATACTATAGAGTATCACTTGATTGACAGCTCTGAGTCTGCTGGGGCTGCCGACATCAAATCCAAGATGGCGGCACCCAGCAGCAATCTCATTATGTCTAGTATGGCCAACCTAAGTCTAGTAGTAAGCTTGCTCATTTAAAATCATGCTCTCTCTGTGCGGGTGATCGTTTAACTTGACAGTGGCTAACACAGTGACAAAGTAATTGCTTTAAGCCACTTGGAGCTCCCTCTAGTGGCTAATCTAGAAATCTCTACATTGAATACAATGCCACAAATATGGAAGAGCAAGCTTGTAAGAATCATATGACAACCACTAAAACGACAGTGCTCAATAAACCTACACTATTCTTTCTCATTAAAATCAATCCCATGAGTAAAATATTAACATTGTAGCATCCAAATTGCTTCGATCACATATGCATTATAGGGCATGAGAAACAGGCACCCCATGGCACAGTCACCATCTATTGCCATTCGCTCCTCCTACTAAGGAGTATCTAATACCAGCAACAAACATTTAATATATTGCAGCTTCTTAGTCATTACTTTGCTCTGTTGAAGAGCTACTGCCTTTAGAGGAATGATCCCAATCCAACAATTCTGGGACTACCTAATGCCTGTGTACCCCGCCGCTTCCTGTGGTTCATCCCACCGACCCCCATTTCACTACAGGACACAACAGGGATGTAGTAGCTGGTGGGAGAGACCACTGTGCAGCAAAGGGGGGTCGGGAGCACAGTGATCGGACACTTCTAGATATGTCAGATTGTGAAGATTTTCCTGTGCAACCATTAGTGCAATACCAAAGCAAAAGGAGGTCACCTTAGCTGTCCTTGACACATACATACTGAATTGATGCTCCCGTAAGCGCTGCAGTTTTTGATGATTATAAATTGATGAGCTGCTTGCCGCTGAATTATAACGCATGCCGCAATGTACTGTCCATAGAGGTTTTCTGAGTTCCGCTGTGTTTTATAGACATACTCATAGAGATTGTCGCCGTCACCGGCCTTCAGGTCATTACACAGGAAGAATCCGCTATCACCCTGGAGTGGGATCGGCCACAAGCTGCCCCTGATTCCTATGACATCTCTTTCAAAGCCAAGGTATGAACACACAAAAAATACATTCTGAACTATTTCACACATTGATCATCAATGCTCTCGTGTTTGAACAATTAAGTGGAATGCCACCAAAAGGTCTTCTCAGTAAACAGTGCTGACATATTATGTACGTCTTTGCAGAATACAGGAGACCATTCACATCAATTATCGTTCCTGAGCAACTTAAGAAGTTTAGAATCCTGTACCCTGCCCCTGAGGAGCTTAGAATTTTGTACTCTGCCCCTGACCAGCTTGGAATTCTGTATCATGCCCCTGAGGAGCTTAGAATTCTGTACCCTGCTCCTAAGGAGTTTAGAATCCTGTACCATGATCCTGAGGAGCTTAGAATTCTGTACCCTGCCCCTGAGGAGCTTAGAATTCTGTACCCTGCTCCTGAGGAGCTCAGAATTCTGTACCCTGCTCCTGAGGAGCTTAGAATTCTGTACCCTGCTCCTGAGGAGGTCAGAATTCTGTACGCTGCTCCTGAGGAGCTTAGAATTCTGTACCCTGCTCCTGGGGGGCTTAGAATTCTGTACCTTGCTCCTGAGGGGCTTAGAATTCTGTACCTTGCTCCTGAGGAGCTTAGAATTCTGCACCCTGCTCCTGAGGGGCTTAGAATCCTGTACCCTGCTCGTAAGGAACTTAGACTTCTGCACCCTGCCCCTGAGGAGCTTAGAATTCTGTACCTTGCTCCTGAGGGGCTTAGAATCCTGTACCCTGCTCGTAAGGAACTTAGACTTCTGTACCCTGCCCCTGAGGAGCTTAGAATTCTGCACCCTGCTCCTGAGGAGCTTACAATTCTGTACCCTGCTCCTGAGGAGCTTACAATTCTTTACCCTGTCCCCAAGCAGCATACAAGTCTGTACTGTGCCCCTCTTACCCAATGTTGCTCTTTGCAATTCCTTATTAATACCTATAGTCTCAGCACAAGTAAATACAATTCAGCCTTATTAGTTTTTAGCAGTTTTGAGGCATGTATACTTCTGTAAGCATGGGATGACTTGCTTATGCCACTGCCTTGAATCCTGCTGACAATGTGTTATGTTGTTATGCAGAAGGAAAATGGCATTATAAGCACCACAATTGAGGGCTCATTGACCTCCTACCATCAGACTGGTCTGGCTCCTGGAGAAGAGTATATTGTGAACATTCAACCCCGCAAAGGCCCAACTTTAGGACCAGAAACTTCTATAACTGCTACGACAAGTAAGTGCATGCAGGTTTTATGAGGCTACGTCAATGCATATCAAATGCTGTGAAGAAAAAACTGCCACTGGGCCACTCCCTACTTCCTCCTAATCCCCCTGGACATATATGCATATGCTAACTCTTAAAGCGGACCTTTACCCATATCTTTCAATCAACAACAAACTCACCTTTAGAAATGTTTAGTAATGGCAATCTACACACACATACTTCTAGATAATTGCCGGCTTTGTATTCTTTGCACACCTTATTTCACTTTTCTTCCCCAGTCTTCTGACAGTGGCCATGTTTACTAAGGGCAGATTACTAGCTCTCCCTTTACTTCCTGGATTACATGTGACTAGACATGTGACTAGGACATGTGACCATGCACATCATCTCGGGGGAGGAAAATACCTTTCCCTGAGATGAGATTTCCCAGCAATGCTCTGCTGAGGTAACCTTCCCAGGATGCAATGCTTGGGGAAACTGAAGTCATTTTGCCCTTTCAAAGCAGGAAGTGAATGCTCTGCAAGTGTAAGTATTTCAATATCACAGCATTTTACACCTGACATGTCTATGTTATTATTAATTATCATACATAGAGGGATGCATGGGTAGAATTAGCTTTTGAGTGTAAAGGTCCGCTATAACTGGCAACCAGCAGGAGCACAGTTTAAAACCTGTGCCATGCAGCAGTAGAAGTGTTACACTTACACGTTACTTTGTATGCATGCACTTAACATGAACATTTATATCTCTAGCTTTAGGTCCACTTTAAGTTATATATTGTCTGTGTGATTTTAAGTGGATGGGCCCAGAACCTTATTATTGGACTGCATATTATGAGGACTCTTAGGACGGGGATGCATGGAGCACAGAACCAGTGTTGGGATGGATAGTGGACAGATGCTGTGCAGGGGGATTATGTCCCCTGTGTCTATTTAAATGGCACATTTCATGACTGTACAAGTGACTATCCTAGAGGGAGAGCTATGGCTTGAAATGCTGGAAAGTAGAGAGCCCCTACGCTTCCCCTGCAGATTTCTAAGCCAGCCTTTGAGAAGACAGAGGCTGTGATTCCTATCGACAAGCCGGCTGGTAGCGGGTTACACGTTCCACAGTTGAAGCTTTATTAGTGGAAACACCGGATCCGTCCAACACAACTTGGTCTGAACTCCCAGATTTTGTCCTTAGGAAAAAAAAACACCAATGAGGCTTAACACAGTGAAAGAGGTTCTTGAAGATTCCAGTGAAATGTAGATTTACAAGGTAATTTATTTTTTCGGGACGAAGTAAACATGGACTCTGTTACAGCGATTTTCACCACCGCTGGTATTCTGAGCGCCGAGCGCAGTCGGATAAGTAAGAAAGAATGGATTATTTTGCACTTATGCTAGACTAGTTTGGCAAGTGAGGGCGTCCCGCTGCTTTTGTTTAGAGGTCAACAAACCAATATACTTAAAGCTGATTCTCTAGCAGATATAAAACAGACAAATGAACGCTCCTCTGCATTCCTCAATACATAATGAAATATATTATTGTATCATGCAAGCTGAGTTGAGTTGTTGAAGACCTAATTTTTTGTTCTGCTGCAGTTAAGTAACACTTACAGGTCTTGCCTCTCTGCCAGTTTGTGACTGGATAGTAAAGAAGAAGCAGCAGACTGATGACCTCATCTCTCTGTCACTCTGCTCTCTCTTCCTATGATAGCTTGAGTAGGGATGAGCTCAGGTTTGGACCAGGCCCGGTCTGAACCTGAGTTCATCCAAACACGGAAGCTGCATAGGTTTCCTACCCAATCAGCTGCGGGTCAGGGCATTCCCTGCCCTGTCGCTGACCATAAACAATGGGGTGGGATGCTTGTAGGGAAGACATTTACCTAATATAGGCATGTGGCCATATAAGGTCAGTGACATCATTACACCACACCCCTTTGCTTACATGAAGCATAGGCACAGGCAGGGAATTTCCCACCTCAGCTGATTGGGCGGCTTTAGACCGGAGTCAGTCTGAACCTAAGCTCATCCCTACACACGAGCACAGCAGCACAAGCTGGCTGGCTTCTTCTGCTGCTTCTCCCTCCCCTGGTGAGTGATGCTGTATAGTGGATTGTGAGAGGCTGATACAAATTCAGGTACTTACACTGCATTTATTTACATCTTTTATGTCTACCTAAAGTTCATCTTAATCACTAGAAACCCATTGATAAAACAGCCAGAAAATGGGAATGGTGTATGGGCATGCAAATTCCCAAGTGCACACTGTTGTCTTTCCATTTTGCGAATGCAAAAAACTAGGTGTTATGTTAGGTGAATCTTTTTTTGGTTGACTTGGTTCATTGTGTGCTATCAGGATGAAATTCCACACGCACACCGCAGCAGCATTACATATTCAGTCAACTGCCACATGTCAGTTTCATGATCTTAAGTGTTACTCTGCTCCCTTTACTTTTAAGGAATTGAAACTCTACGGGGTCTCCGAGTGACCGAAGCCACCTCTTCCTCATTATTCATAAGATGGGAGAGACCCCAGGTACTACCTGATCGATATATCGTTACTCTGATCCATCCAGATGGCAAGGAGAAGAAAATGAGGATCCCTGGAAAGATGGACAGAGCCAAGGTATCCGGACTGGAGCCAGATACAGAGTATAGAATCATACTGAGAACAGAGAAGGAACAGGAGCAGAGCCAGGACACAGAGACCACTGGAGTCACAGGTGACAAAAGGGCAATGGTGGGGGTGGGGGGCGGAGGGAAAGAGAGCTAAACATATCGATCTGTGAATATTTAAGAATGACCATATTGGTCCAGTCATAATAAATTTTTCACCAATGAGTCTGAATCCCTTGTTGTCCCTTTATCGTTATAAAATATCCTCCAAGAAGTTCCTGGATCTGTCCTCTCCACAATGGATTCCTATTGTTGCATGCATGAGGACCGTTAGTGTCTTCTCAGTCATTTACAAGAATTGAATAATCCAACAGGGAGAGTGAGACCTCCTTGTTGTATTAATGCTTATTGTTTGAAGCTTGAGGGCTAGTTCACACCAGCCACAGTACGTTCAATGCACTGCCACTCCCCCTCCCGCCCCACAACAAACTGTGCTGGCCCCAATGAGATCCAGTGCGTTCTGGCCCAAATTGGCACGGAACGCACTGTGGCTGGTGTGAACTAGCCCTGGACCCAAGTTGAGATATGAAATGAGCAATGATTGAGCTTGCTAAAACCCATCCAAAAATATACTTTTGGGTGGGCTAACTCTTTAAAATTGAGGCAAGATCTATTTAACATTTTACTTTTTGTTGGAACAAAGACAGGGCTTGATTACCTGCCCCTTTTTTTTTTTTGCTGTAGATGGCTATGATAGGTATATCTCAGCGGAATTAGATCCTTTCCTCTGGGAAATCAGCATTTTGAATGCACTATAGCCATGTGTAGAGGAAGCACTTCAAAAATATTATTTCTCAGTAGAACCTTGTTTGTGTTGGACACATTGCAGATGTAGGGTGATCTCCCCACCAGAGTTTCAAACAAAAAGCCTGGGCAAGACCTCATAGTCTATATCACTTATCCAGGCCACCCAGGAATAAAAGAAAAATAGTCCCACTTTAAGATAGCACTGAAAGACCAAGCTATGAAAAGTGACTCATCAACCATTTCATCAAAGTGTTGTGTTGTATGACGTGTCTTTTTGTTTTCGGTTACAGCTGAACAGGGATCTTGCTGGACCTTTTGGACCAGGCTAGCCGCTGACTTTATTTTACCATTGAACATTTCTCTTTGCAGGATTTCCTCCCCAGGCGCAGCGGAGAAAACCTTTCCTTCTAATTTCTGAACTGTAAATTCTTCTTATTCCCGATCTGTAAATGTTCAAGGTTTTTAAAGATGTGCACAGTTGTAGATCTCCCTCTATGATGCTGGGTGACCAGTTTCCTGTTGGATGTGGGCACTCTAAATCCTCCTGAGGGTCACTTTTTAATGAAAAGATTCTATTTTTAACTATATTGAGTATTCTGCTGTTGGTTTAGGATCATCTTTGAATATTTAATACATTAAAACTAGCAACAATATGCTCTTGACTATATTAAGATGCATGAAGAGGTCACTACCTGCCAGTATTATTTATTAGGAAGACTTATCCACTCTTCAGCACCCATTATGTCTGTATGGTTGACTTGTAATATCCCACTCTACAAGCAGTTTTGACTGTAGATACATTTTGAAATATTGCCACTGGTCTCAAGTGAGGACACCTTTAAGTTACTACAACAATCTACAAAATATGGCCAGATGATTGTGGACAACTGACCATCTTAATCAAACTATAAGTAAACTACAAAACTATAAGCTAAGCCTTTCCAAATGATTGAGTTCAGGTGTGCTAATGCTACAGATTATTAAAACATCTTAGACAATTATGCACATGGCAGCACTTTGGGGAGGGCCCCTGTGCACAAAGCCAGCGCTCCATAAAGACATGGTTTGATAGGCTTGGTGTGGAGGAACGCAAGTAGCCTTCACAGAGCCCTGACATCAACCCAACAGAACAATTGGAACGATGATAGTGAGTTGGGCCTTCTTGTCTAAAATGAATACCCGACCTCAATCCTACTGAACACCTTTGGGAAGGATTGGAATGTTGATTATGAGTCAGGTCGTCTCATCCAACATCAACACCTGACCTTGCAAATGTTCTTTTGGCTAAATGGGCACAAATTGCTACAGACACACTCCATATTTAAGTATAAAGAGTTTTGCAGAAGAGTGGAGGCTGTTATAGCTGCAAAGGGGTGGGCCAGCTCCAGTATAATGCCCATGTTCATATAGTGTAATGGTCAGATGTCAAGACAATTTGGCCCTATAACGATTGCAGCTACTATTATTATTTTTACATTGTATCCAAACCCAAAAACAGAAATTTAAATATATTGGAGTTTACCAGTCCTGATGAGGGGATGCATTAGTTTCTTTTTACAAGGCTTCAAGACTTTTGTTTGACTTGGTAATCTAGTGATTATGATTTTTTTCTGCCCTAGGGCAGTTATGCTCACTCACTCCTCTTTATCTATGGATGGAGCCAGGGTTATCACCCAGGCTGGCACTCAAACATGTCTTCCTCTCTTCCTCTTCATTACTTGGGGGGGTTGAGACAATTAGTATTTTACAGAAGTAGAATAACATTGTTTGTGTTTTTAGCTCAGCTCACAGGAAGTGACAAGGACAATGCATTTTTGACAAGATCATCAGGTATTTTTGTCACTTGCTGAAAATGTTCTTAACCTAAAAATAAAAACAAATGCAGCTACCACATCCAAGGACTAGTACTCTGCAATATATAGCATTTGTGTTCTCAGGGTAGTTATCATTTGAAGCTTTCACTTGGACTAAATCATCCATTAATTACATTTTATTCTTAATAACATTTAAACATGATCCCTTAGTTATTAATGATATCGGCTATTTTTGAATCACTGATAAATCATTTGATAATGATTGCAAATGGCAATGTAGTTTTTTCTTTTGCATAAAACATTTTAATTTTGATACGATAGGAACAAAATCTTGACAGAGCTATATTCGATAGCATTTCAGAGAACATATCATATTCCTGTATGCACAAATTTCATTTTTTTTTATCAACTTGAAACAATTAAATAAATGTGTTAAATGTTTCAAAAATGATCAGGTAACTAACTTTTATCATTTTATTTCACCACAGTTCCACAGCTGTTGAAAATCTAACTCTTTCTTTCTAGGCAGGACTGTTAATCTCATTGTAACTTTGACAGATTTTACAGATGATTACTTTTATAAATTTTGATCAATATAGTTCATCTTAGATTTGATTATAAGTAGGGTAACTGTCATCTTCTTAATTTGGTGCTTTACTAGCTGGAGAAGAAAGAAAGCGTTCGAATGTTGAGGAAAAAGACAAGGATCGTGGATCAGTGGGGACATCTCGTACTGTCGATACCTCTGAAACTACAATACAGAGAAATCAACATTTTTCATCAGTACCCAAAAAAGACCTCTCGCTAGGAGGGGAGGATGATGGTATTCTTACCAAGGAAACTAGAGAGATCATTACAGGAGGACAAAAAGGAAGCAAATTAATACATACAACAAAAAACATAACAACCATTATTACAACCATATACCAAACCCGTCATCATCAGAATGGGAGGGTAGTTAACGTCCACCATGAAACAGAAGATTTAGATCACTCTTCTACCATACCACCCCACAGTGAAGAGGACTTTGTAATAACAAGTGTGAAGGTAGATGATGATATAGATCAATTAACCCCATTGGATAGTATAAATAACTTGCCAGGAAGGAAAGCAGAAAAGTGGATGGTTACAAAGAACATTACTCATATCACAACAGTTTCTAAAGAAAGTCCTACCAAACTGCAAGAAGAAGAAATAGAAGAAGATGTGCATCGAACTACAAGCACCCATTCTAAAGTTCGTTTTCCTGGAGGTGGGCGGCTACCAGGAACTTCTAGTGTTGCCAAAAAGCTTCGGGAGATTGAATTATTGAAGAAGAAAAGTGTAAGTCAGTCTAGTAATGATGAAAAACCAACCCCAGTTTATCCAGAGGGTCCATTTGGTCCTTCAAAAACTGAAGATATTCTCCATAAATTACCTCCCCCTGTACATCAGGATCATCTGGAGATTTTAGAAAGTGAAATAACATCAGAAACACCAACAGAAAGCAATTTTGAAACTGAACAGACTGGAGGTATAGGTGGAAATAACTTAGGAGGTGAACACTCTGATCCTACAAAATCTAGAAAGCAGATTACGACTTTAGTCAAGTTAAACAGAACTGTTAACACCACCAGAAGAAAGGTGATAGGTGGAGATGACAACAAGGTAACCCATAATGAGACAGTAGTAGTAGAAAGTCATAAGGCTGTAAGGGAACCTGGAGGAAAGGTCAAGAATCACACCAGAATATTGGGACCTCAAATGAAGTCTGTTATTGAGAACTTGCCAGAGAAACTTTCTTTATATAATGGAACATTTATTCAGCGATTGGAGAGTTACTTAAGGTCTACTTCATACCCACTAAAAGGCAACCAAACAGTTGAAACTATAGCCAGGGCAATATATCTTTATTTAGTCAAATGGAAACCAGACAGTTTTACAGAAATGGTGTATGATCGCCTACCTCAGAAGACTCCGGGTGCCACAGGGTACTCAGAACCCATTGGGGCATCAAGATTGCAAGGCAATTTTGGAAACGCAGTAGAAGAAAGTAGAGTAAAGAATTTAGGCAATACTACAGATCAAACAGATGAGGGAGCAGTATTGGTGAGAAGGCCAGACTCTTCGAAAACGTTTTTGGTTGTTCCAAGTGTAAAGACACTAGGAAGAGTAGAAGCTGTTGGAGAGATAGAGGGTCCTGACACATTACCAGTAAGGAACTATGACTCTACTTCTGAAGTTACAGATAGAAATGGGGATGTACAAGACAAAGAAAAATATGAATTGACAAATGTGATTGATTCAGACTCTAAACCTGCTCCTTCTAAGCCAGTATTAGATAAAAGTAAAGGTTCACGAAAGCCACCTCCTAAAAAGCCTACCACACCAGAGAAAGAAATTGGGAGGAAAGAAGATAAAAAAAAGCCAATCTCTGAAACAAAGAAGGTCGAAAAGGCCACTAATCAAGAAGAGCTGGAGAAGTTCCCACCAAGTTTGCATGTTACAGATTATGAAACCCCCTCAAGAATAGGCACTTTAGGAAGGCCGACCAAAAAACCCAAAGTGAAGCCATCTTTAAGCTCTGTGGTACAAAGCGGTACACTAAATGTTGACCCCACTCCAGGTACCAGTTTACCTAATAAGGAGACAGACAAAAGAGTGCACCTTTTACGGGTCATAGATGAACCTAATAACCAAGATAAATCCTCAGTAGTTAACCAGATTCCAGGCTCTGGTGAAGGCCAAGGCAAAGCAGATCCAATCCAAAGTCCATCTTTAGCAAAGGTCCCAGGCCCTGAGGCTCAAGGAAGACCTAGCATCCACCAGAGAAGTTCTACCAGCTTGGTCATATCATTAGAAGGCCTTGGATTTCTGTGGGACAGGGTAATCATTCTTTATAGTCCATGGCCACCCACGGATGGTGTGACTCCTCAAAAGATGGAGGTGGACAGAGGCACAAGGCAGGTGGAAATTCAGGATCTTAGACCAGGAACCAGCTACAGATTTGACCTTCACGGGCTGCTGAGGGGCCGCTCATCCAAGTCTTACTCATTGGTGGCGGAAACAGGTACTGCGTGAGCTAAGTTGCAATGATTGAGCAAAAAAAAGTGGGAAGTAGGGAATACTTTTTGCTATTTTGTTGGCTGTCCTCTGAGTTATCTGCTTTTCTCTCAGCCACGCACCCAGATTCCATTTTGCTGGGATAATGCCATACTTAAGCAAAATAGGAAAAGTGCTATTGATGGGTTTTGTGATGATCGGTCTGAATTATATCTCAATGTGCTTTCTTTTCCCTCTTGTAGGAGTGCTAAACATTGGGATCTGTCTTCTTAATTTATCTTTTCTTCCAATAAAATTCAGTATCTTTGTCCGTGATTTTTATTCTGCTTTTCCTCCATTCTGACTGTTCAGTTGAACATGTATCTCACAGCCTTCTATTTGTCAACCTGCAAGTGGACCTGTCTTTTTAACAATAATGGTTAAAGCCATTAAGCCATTTATTAAACTGCCTGAGTGTTCACTACTTCTTTTCCAAAGTCCTGTTCTAAGTCTTCCAAAATATATTAAAGTTTGGTTCTAGGTCTCATTCAAGCCCCCCCATCCCGAGTGCAGGCCTGGCACTGAGCTCATTCAAGCCTACCAGATCTGTGCATGTGCAAACTTAGTGCCATACACGAGTATTCGATCCAGCATGAATCTACTGAAGGCAACCATCTTGTTGGTGGAAACTATATCTAATATAATAATACTACTAACAACCAGCAAAGTTGCATTAAACATTAATGCATTATACAATTCCAGCATCATCTACTTATAAATTAGAAAACAGAAGCTAAAACAGCTAAAACCTGATTAGACATGGTGGGCAATGGCAAATTTGTGTATGTACCCATGTATGTTATGAAGACAGGTCCACTTGATTTGTGTTTATGTTCAACAAAACCCAAATATAGTTGTTTTACCCTTTTTCTTTTTTTTGCTTATTTATAATTGTTCAGTCCCCCCTCACCGTCTCAATTTCCGTTATCCGTTTGACCACTTACAGATGAATAACAGCACAGTTTTACCTCACAGGCCTCTCTCTTCCTCTGCCGCTCGCTCTGTGCTCACCGTATGGCAAAATGACACCGCGACTGACCTGCTGATAACACCTTTACCCTTCAGGCAATGTGAACGCACAATTGTATATATATCATATTGTAAAAGAATGATGTGAATGTTGAAGAGACGTGCGTAGGTGTGTGTAGATATATAGATATACATTTTACATGTTTGGGTGCACATGTTTCACAGAATGGAACAAGCTCATGGCCAAAATTATTTTTTCTTTTCCTATCAGCTGGTAGCTGGAGGGTTTTCTTAAGCAGCAACAGAGTAGGTCATGTGATACCTCATCAAATCGGGCTTTATTAAATAATATAGAGTGATGTGGCTTAAAAGGCGAGTCCATCCAAAATAAACATCAGCTTTTGAAGCATGTTGGCACCTGGCCACTGTCTTTTTAGCATTTTTGGGGACATCAACATGGACATTTCCCCTGCAGGGAGCGCTTTTGTGAAGCAGTCTACTAAAGTTGCAAGAACTAGCTCCTGTGAAAGTCTAAACTGTCAAGAAGGCCTTTTCGTGTGGAATTCAAACCTCTTTTTCTCCAGGTGCAAAAAGCTCCCCCTTGTCCTTAAAATAAGTAAAATGCAAAACCTATCCTTAGCAAGAGACAATGTAAGGAGAATTATGACAGCTGTCGAGATGAAGAGCTGATCTCTTTGTTATGAAATCTCACTGCTGGAGTGCCCAAGATTCCTAAAACTTGAAAGGAGATTAAATATGTCAACATCCACCCAACAATCCAGTGATCAATTTTTAGTGGACTTTCCCTTTAAGCATCAGCCACTCTACTTTAAACTTAAACCAATCAAAATGAAAATCTACAGAAAAATCAGTTAAATCAAACCCTGTTCATTGGGTTCTTTTTTTAATGACAAGTATAGAATGTATATCTACACCACGCACAGAGGTACCGGTGTAATGAACAGTGTGAAAGTGTTGGTATGTGTGTTTATGATATATATATTAATGACAGATCTGTATATCTGTGCTTTCCGTGTCATCTGTCATTATTTTATGTAGTATACCCTGATGTTGATATATAAATAAATGCACTCTATAATCTTGATACATGTATGATATACATAGATCAGGTCATGGTGTATGTATATAGAACATACAGTTCCTCTATATATGTTTGTGTATGTGTGGGAAGAGCTTTTATGGACATACATGCACCCCGTAGTCACCCATACATACATAATCATATATGCTCACTGCTTTGTAGCATGTCGTTGTGCACATGTTGCATGTAATGTTTCATGATCCAGCATGTCATTGACAACAGGAAGTCTTTAGAGTTATAGATATGGCGGGAGGGGGAGGTGTGGCATGGTTGTGGAGGATACACAACGAGAAAGCATAATGTTTTTTTGTAGGAGCTACAAAGATAACATGTCTTTTGCCCCCCAACCACAGCCCCGTTAAACACCGCGCCACCTCACACTGAAAGGAGCACCCTTCCACCATACACAACCACAACCACGGCTTCTACAGGTAAGACTGTTTTTTTGTTAAGGGCCTTTACAACTTTATAGAATGCTGCCTTCTATCTTCTAATCACTCACTGGAAATGAGTCCCGTGCCAGAGGAAGAGGATGTAAAGGGATGTTTTAGATAAGCAGGGATAACATTCAGGCTTGACTACATCTGGTCATACACTGGTAGATTTTTGTACAAACCTTTATAGGAAAAATCTGGTCAGAACATTCAATAATGCCGTTAAAGACTTGATGAATGTCGTTCAAAATGTCATTTGGTTTTAAAATTACATTTTGGAATGAATGGAGTTTCTTGAACGAAAACCACATTCACTGTTATAAATGTATTTGTTTGACAAAAAGTTTCCAACCCACTCCTTTGATTTTTTTCATCACTATGATCAAAAACGAATGATCAACGATGATTGAAAATCGAACCTGGTGTTGAGAGGTGTTGAGAATGAATGGAGTTTTTTGAACGAAAACCACATTCACTGTTAGAAATTAGTTTGTTTCGAGAAAATTTTTCCATCCCATTCTTTTGATTTTTTTTCATCACTATGATCAAAAACAATTGATCAACAATGATTGAAAGTCGAACGTTCCAAAAATGATTTTTTTCAAACAAAATTCCACTGGTGTATGGCCAGGTTAACAAAACCTTTTACAGTAACCATTTACAGGGGGCTCTAGAAGACTCACAACCCTATTTAGCAAGGTTTTCTTATTCTTTACCAATCAGTGTTCATCTTGTAGTGGTCTGACTTCAGCAGAGTGAACGCTGATTCGTTTTAACGGGTTACCACATTTAGGAATATGGACTCTTTATTGTATTTTGTGTGAATTTATGTCTGACTACGAAGTGCCCCCTGTCGTAGTGCAACTGGTACCTCGCCTTCTGGGTATAGTAGTCCTTAAAGTGGAACTTCTTTTGTCAGAGTAGTAAAATTGATCTCAGAGTTCTCATTGAGGAAATTCTTCCTTTGTTCCTGGTACCAGTACTGGAAAATCTCCCCAAGAGAACACAGCCCCACAAAAATACTTTGTAGGGTAAGGTTAGGACCTTTGTTAGGTTTGGAGTGTCAAACAAGTAGTAGAGTCCAGATAAAATGTATTTTTTTACAATATCTGTTAAAGAGCCAGATTTTTGAGGATTCTGAAGGACCCCCTTCATTAGGGCTGAAGCTTGTGCGTAAGGCATTTTCCTGACCTTCAAAAGACAGACTTTCGCATGAAGAAATCCAGAAACCTTGGGAAGTATTCCTTAAATTGTATGTAAACCCAAGCAATGAACATCTCTTGTTTGCTGCCATTTCTTCTGTCAAATATACCATTAAAAGCCTTCTAAACAATAAGTGTGAAAGAAAAACTGCTGATCCTTCCAGAAATCTTGATAGCTGAAAGCTTCCTGTGCTGTTTTCCTCTCTGTTAGCATTGTTCCCAGCTCTCTATGTGGACTACAGAATATTTTCCCTCTATGTTATAGATGAGAGGAGGAGATTTTCTGTAATCCCAACCTAGGGTGACAACACTGCTCTTCCATAGCTACAGTACTGTAAGCGAGCGTTGGCACCCTAAGACAGGAAGTGTGTTATTGGCAGGATTAAAAGGTGAAAATAAAGGAAAGACATCCTGAAAAAAAGAGGTGTCAGAGAAGCAAAGATTATCACTTCATGAAACTGAAGGTGTCATCTGTTAGGGTAAAAAAATGGGCAGTCCTAATCTCTACCTGCAGAGTGATTTAACCGCTCGCTGACCATCCCCTAACCTACAGCATGTTGGTTCCAGGAAAAAGTGATTGTCAACAAGATGTTACATTGTTGAGTAGCAGATGAACATCCCTGTGTAGCTTAACCCTAAGGCCATTCCGCATATTAGAAGTCAGCTGCATAAAGGTTAAAAAAAAATATAATGCAACCACCATATCAAAGGACAAGTTGCAATCAGTTCCATTTTTTCTTGGGTTTAGATACACTTTAAAGGTGGAAACAATGAAAACATCAGGAAAATGCCCCAGATTGAACTCTCTTTCCATTGCTGACCACACACACATGGTGGTCATGTACTTATAAAAGAAGTCACCGCTCAAAACATATCTCTTGAAAGTGAAATTAATATTATCTTGATAAAATATTAACTGCAGTTTATTGCTTTTGTGTAATTTTTATACTAATTAATAAACATTTCTTTATCCCTAGTATCTCCTAGACTTCCACTGGGTGGTCTTGAAGTGAGAGACATCACAAGTGACAGTGTCTCCCTGATTTGGAAGGCCAAGTCTAATTTTTTTGAATCGTTCTTGGTCCGCTATGAAGACGTGAGTGGTAGCGCCACATCAAAGGAGACTTCTGTTCCCGGGCAGCAGCGCGAGGTGACACTGCGGGATCTGACTGAGAGGACCAGATATGCAGTGTCAGTGTATGGCATAAGGGGAGGGAAGCTATCACGACCACTGAAGGAAGAGGTGACAACAGGTATGTGAGTGTTTGAACAATAAAGTGGACCCTTTTGTTTTATAATGAACCGTGTTTATATTAATTTAACATCCTCCATGTTGTACTTACAAATTAAAGTCCAACTGCAGTGAAAAGTGTTTTTTGGGAGTTTTGGAAAGGGTTGGGAAGGGTTACAACCCATGCCAGGTTTTTACAGCCATTGGGGGGAATCGGGAAATAGTCTTTTGTGGTCGCCTAGACAGGAAGGGAGCATAATTTCTCCAGCAGGAGCCCAAACAGTGAGGAAGGACAACTTTTGTCAGATTTGCTGTCTTTGTCTTAGTTTTTAAGACCTTCTCACGTCCCGTGTGGTCACCAGGACAGTGTCTCGGCCTGAACAATCTCTAAACGCCTGTTTCCCGTGATCCTCTACTTTGGCCGGAACATCAGATATCTCCAAAACATTGATCATTTAACTGAGCCCCAAATGATAAGGGAATTTCGTAAAAATGTATGTATAACCAAAGGTTTTTTTGTAGTTTTTAATCAAGAGGTGAATGATTAAAAACCCCACTGGTGACATATCCCTTCACTAATTGTCCTGGGGGCCTTTATTACCAAAACAGAAAGTCATAGGAAATCATAATTCTACAGTTGCCACCGGATCAGGAGGTATGGGTAATTCTTCCCATGCTCTGGTGACAACTGTCTATAAGGCGAAGTCCCCTCACTTTGGAGAGATATCTTCTCACTACCTGTTTCCAGGACAGCAAGTTGAGCGTTAGCTCCTGAGCGGGACACAGAAAGGAATAAATACACTGACGGGGTTTTAACCTTTCCCCTTTTCACCCAAAAATAAAATAAAAAGTTTGGGTTATAAATGGGCTTTCGAGTGAACATATTGATATAGAAATGATAGAAATATGGAGGTACCACCGTCTTTTACTTTTTTGCAGTCTCTGGGGCTGGTATACTATTGAAGTGAAATATAACATAATGATAAAGAGCAGAGGAATTGGTTAAATGGAAATAGATTATTCCATCAGACAGATGACCAGAGCAGCTCTATAAAAACAAAGAGGGGAAACTGTCAGAATCGATATTTCCCATGAAAACAATCAAGTATTATATTTTTAGTTCTGAAAGGCATCATTATGGTCATGTGGTTTTATGTCTGTGTACCAAAGCTGACCTCCAGGCTGATATAAGACAAACACATTGAAGTTAAGTCTTGTTATAACAGAAAAAAACATAATTATATGTATTTTTATATACAACAAGTATAAGTATTTTAATGTAATTTCATGTTCATCAGCATTCGCTTTGAGGCCAGGAGGGACAGGATTCTATTTGCTCTGTTGCTTAGTACAGTGCTGTCAGTCTAAGGACCCATTCACACCACATCCAGATCATTTCCAGACCAGACCAGATTGTTTCCAGACCCAAAATGCATCCTAAAGTATCCCTATGCTATTTCTGGCCTCTGTTCACACCGGACCCAAAATGCATCCTAACGTATCCCTATGCTATTTCTGGCCTCTGTTCTAGACCAGACCAGACCAGAAAAATCCTGCATGTTTCATTTTGTCCGGTCTGGAATGCACTGGAACGCATAGAAACACATAAAAAATGCATGGAACCCACCTAAAAGCAGATTTTAAGCTGAAAAAAAAACTGCTCCGGAACGTGGCAAAATCACGATAAACTTGCAGTAAAATCGTGATGCACTTCATTCCAGATCTGGTCTGGGAAATGGTGTTGACCCAGCCTAAGGCAACAAGCTTACCACCACAAGTACAATCCCACCTGTGTGCTGTTGCTCATCCAATTAAAAGGCTGGGTGGGTTTTTTTTACACATCTGTATTGTCAAGTACTTGGCTGTGATGTCTGGCAGGGGTGAATCACAGGCATGGCTGAACAGATTACAAGTAAACTTTTTTAATTATTGGATGTGCTGCTCTCACTTGTCTCTATGATCATTTTGTCAAGATGTTCCAGTTGCTGATCTTCAAGTTGTAGTTCCAATCAGTTTTATATTCATGACTCATGGAAACTAAAGCATAAGCCTACAGATCTATATACAACAATTGGAACAGTTTGTGAACCCCAAGGCAAGAAAAATCTTTCCATGTTTCTAGTAGAGACCATCAGTCTGTAACCATCACTTAGATGAATGACAGCTGGAACGTAATTGGTTGCTGGAGGGAATCTTCCTTCACAGAATTCCGCACAGCCACCGTCCAATTAAGTATGTTCAGCACATCTCTTTCCTATAAACCAGGACAAGTCCAAATACGGCATCTATTTTTAGATCGACAACATCTGCAGTTCTTGGAGACTCAACCCCTGGAAGTTCTTTCCCACGAAAGCTCTATTATTCGTCATTCCCTGATATAGGCAGAGATCCAGGAATGGAGATATAGGTGTCTGAAAAAGATATAATGACGGCTTTTGCCGTGGAGCGCTCATGGTTTTACTAAGTTACTGGGAAACAAAGATATTCAACTGATGGTCTTCTGAAATGTTGGAAGGTTTTAGAGATCCTTTGTCAGGATATTTATGATCATCCAACTGCGCCTGGATATTTTATCTACCCTCGGAGAAGGGATGATCTGATGATGGTAGAGGAATGATCTATGAGGATCTGCTGGTAATATGAGTATCAGTATGATCTAATGATGAATAAGTCACTAACAACTTAGGATTTAGCACACACATTTTTAATTAGTGAATTATTTGGCATAACGACAATTATCTTCATTTATGTGACTTTTTTTCAACTGTTATTGGCTGTTGTTGGTGAAAATAACAGTATTTTTTCTTTTTTTTGCAAATAGCAACCGCTATGGCTTATTAACTGAAGCCTATTGTGATCATTTCTAGAGAGAGAAAGGAGTTGTGAGGCAAGTGGGTGGCACCACACTCCTAATTAATATGAGAATCAAAAGAAAGAAAATGGCTACAAAAGAGCCTTGGGCTTATATGGTGCCACAAAAGAATACAATTTTCAGGATACTATTAAAAATCGTATCTTATTTATAGCAAATTTAAAACCTAATCAAGAGCATATTGGCCATTGCAAAGGTTTACACATATGAACTCATATTGGAAAACACTCATATACTGTACATATCTTGGCTATATTCCATAGGCTTAAGCAGATTATGAGTTCACAATAGGTTCTTCGCATTTTGCAGAAAAATAGCTTCTTTAGGAACCTTTTGTGGAGCTCTATGGTTCAACCAGGGGCGTCCCAAGGCCGGGTGTCACCCGAAGCAGTTACCGGGTGACACCCCGCCGAGACGTCACCGTTCGTGCGCGATGACGTCATTGCGCATGCACATTATTGATACCTGCCGTCGGCCATCTTGGTGATGGATGCCGGAAGAGAGAGGAGGGGACAGTCACCCGGCGGGATAAGGTATGCCGCCGGGTTCCCTCCTCTCTCCCGAAACTGTTGGGCTCTTGGTCCATGACCGAGGGCACGACATTTCAGAGGGGGGTGACATCAAAATGATTGTCAGTCATTTTGGTGTCATCCCTCCAATGGTGTCACCCGGGTGCGGGCCGCCCCCCTCCCCCCCACGCAAGCTTCTTGTGATGCCACTGGGTTCAACAAATCGTATATGTCATACATATCCTTTATATCCTTTATATATAACAGATTTCATTATATTTCATTGGACATTACTTCCTCTCATTGTATTGTGATATTTACTGAAGGGGCTAAAACAATTTAATGATGGCCACTGGCACAGGCAGTGATGAGCTAATGATGATCCGCTGAGGTCTGTTACACATGATCAGATCAGGTACAGCTCTCAAACAAACATTACAGCTGAGATTGGCCAACAGTCCCATTAGTCACCAAGAGCACATCTCTTCAGGGGAGATGATGCGTTTAGTGGGAGACTGATGTCACCACTTTTCAAGGGGGGAAACAGAGGTCTTTGCTGCAAGTTCTCTGACCTGGCTGATTGTTCCCCCAGAGAACTATGGTGGATGTGTGTAGGTTTGATAGATAAGAGATTGGACAACTTCCGTCCCATGTTTTTGGGTAGCTTTAGGAACCATGGCCCAACACTGATTTGCAAAGCCATGCTTTAGTGATACTCTGTTGTTTAAACTACTGCCATGGTGAAAAACTATCTACTGACAGCTCAGAGATGACCTAATGATGTTTTGCTGGTGGTATGTCATATTCTTCATGCACTGCTGCTATTGTAGTGATGGTCCAATGGTGATATATTAAAAAGTATTAAGAGCAATTAGAGGTACCAAGGAAAATCAGTCAGTGAACCTCCAAACGCTACAGATTTATACACAAAAGGTTACTCAGTTTGGCGTAATTTGAGCTCACAGTAATCCCCTCCAGCCAAATAACACCTCATAGTGTCATGTGAAGCCCATGCTGTGGAGCTTATCCTCTCTGATTCCTCTATCACCAATCACATTCAAGCTTTGAAGGTAGATTTCAATCTGAGTGGTGGTGAGGGAAGCTCCTAAGTACTTATATTCACTGCACATCTTTCTGTATAGGAGAAAGCAATGGGCCTGCAGTGGGTGCGATTGGGAACAAGTCCCCAGCATCACAGGCATGGGTCAATAGGTCACCTGAAGAGCCACATAGATGCCTGGATGAAAAACTGAAGCCCCAGCACTAATCTCTGTTCCCTATGTACGTCTCATGGATCAATTTTCAATTTTGACTGGAGTGAACCTTTGATGGGATAGGGATCTCCTTGTAATGGTCATCATTTGATGTTCCACTGTTGACATAGTGATATGATCTCACAGTCTTTAAAACAAATATCCATATTTGCGTAACCGTACTGCTACGTAGCTACGCAATAGCTCAACCTAAATTAAAGTTACCTTTTAGCCAATTTATATATTCATTATTGAGTCATTAATATAATGTTTCAGTCTAGCAAATGTATATACATAAGATATGGCTATAATGAGATGGAGCCAACTGATAACCAGCCTGGCAGTGGGAGTGGCTCTGTAGTTAAGATAGGGGGAATTTGCTTGGCTT